TGACTAGCACTGTGTGAACGAGTTTGGGAAAGCACACGAGTGACGCAAGAAGAAGATCCAACGCTTTTGTTGTTTTGATTCACAAACGGACTGACCATCATCACCATCATCATCGTGGTCACCTCTTCCGCCAATCTTCAAAGATGGCGTCGTCTGAACGGCACCACCGTCCGCACACCTCCTCCTCCACCACCACCTCATCTTCATCAGATCGCCACAACAACTCTCACCACCATCAAGAGCGAACTGAAGAGGAGCGTCGCCGGCAGAAGGAGCTGATCAAGGCGCTGGAGACGCCCGAGCAGAAGCGCGCCCGCCGACTGGCAAAGAAGGAGGAGAAGGAACGAAAGCGGCAGGCGATGGCCGGCTGGGACGACGAGTACAGCGGCTACACCAACGAGGACAATCCCTTCGGCGACTCGAACCTTCGAGAGACCTTCATCTGGGGAAAGAAGTACGAGAAGCTGGGCCTGAAAAGCAAACTCGACGAGGAGCAGATTAGGGCGATCAACCGCGAGCGGGCCATTCGAAATCGCCACGAGCTGGAGAAGGTGAAGCAGCGTCGGCTGGAGCGGGAACGAGAACGCGAAGAGCGCGCCGAGGAGATGTCACAGATGCAACGCGCCAAGGAGGCGGAACAGTTCAAAGAGTGGGCCAAACAGGAGGACTACTTCCACCTGAAGCAGGCGAAGCTGCGCTCGAAGCTACGCATTCGGGAGGGCCGTGCCAAGCCCATTGACATTCTCGCCCGCTACATNCAAACAGGAAGACTACTTTCACCTGAAGCAGGCGAAGCTGCGCTCGAAGCTGCGCATTCGGGAGGGCCGTGCCAAGCCCATTGACATTCTCGCCCGCTACATCAACGTCTTTGGCGATGCGACGCTGCCCTCGGAGGCGGCGGCGGCCGCCGCGGAGGACTTCAGCGATCAGCCAAAGCGCGAAGAGGAGAACGAGGACACGGTGAAGGCGAACGCCCGCCGCCTGAACGAGGAGGACCGCGAGGAGCTGGCCGACCGCCTGGACGTCCTCCAGCAACGCGGCCCGGGCGCCCTCAGCGAGCCCTACAACGCCCTCAATGGGCTGCGCATCCGCGACCTGGAGGACCTGGAGGCGGACATTCGCGTGTACCTGGAGCTGGACAGCGGCGCAGAGGCTAACGCCGACTACTGGCGCAACCTGCAGGTCATCGTCGAGGACGAGCTGGCGAAGCTGAAGCTGGCCAACATGGACCTGGCGGAGCGCCGCAGAGAGGGCATCAATCCTTCGGTGTCGGCGGAAATCAGCCGCCTGCTGGCGGGCAAGACGCCTGCGCAGCTAGTGAAGCTGCAGACGCAGATCCTCGCGAAGATTCACTCAAAGGAGGAGGGCATCGACATTGGCTACTGGGAGACGATGCTCGCACGGCTCAAGGCGCAGATTGCCCGCGCCCACCTCCGTACGTTTCACGAGGCCAATTTGGGCCGGCGAGCGCAGCTGATCGCCACCTTTCAGCAGCAGCTCCGGCAGATGGATCCGAGGAGATCTGCCGCAACTGCAACCCAAGAAAAGGAGATGAAGGTCGGCGGGGAGACGGAGGCTGCAGATGATGAAGAGCTGAAGAACGATGAGGTGGAAGAGGAGGCACCGGCGGAGGAGGAAGAGGACGAGCTGCGTTTCCTCTCCGCCGCCGAGCTGGAGCAGAAGTGCCTGCAGGACTACCGCTCCGGCGGGACCGCCGCCGCCCCCTACAGCCCGCGACCGCTGCCCGTGGAGGAGCTGCCCACCGGAGCGCTGATCATCAGCGCCGAGGATCGCGCCCGTGAGCTGGACGAGCAGCGGGCGGCCACGCTCAAGCGCCTGCTCGCCTTCCCCACGCCCTTCGTCCAGTTTGACCGCAGTGAGCCAGGCAGCAGCGGCAAGAAGGGCGGCAACAAACGGGGAAAGAAGGGCGGCGATAAGGCTGCTGAGGCGGCTGAAGAGTCTACCGCCAACTACGACCACAACGCCCTGGCCATGACCCGGGACGAGGAGGCCTTCCTGCGCGAGGCCCGGCGCGGCATGGCCGACGACGAGGCGGTCTTCAGCGTGGAGGAGCAGGCCCTCCTCCAGGCGAAGGACCGCTACAGCTGGTCGGAGAAGTACCGCCCGCGGAAGCCGCGCTACTTCAACCGCGTCCACACCGGCTTCGAGTGGAACAAGTACAACCAGACGCACTACGACGTGGACAACCCCCCGCCGAAGGTCGTCCAGGGCTACAAGTTCAACATCTTCTACCCGGACCTGATCGACAAGTCGACGACGCCCAGCTACAAGATCACCGCCTGTCCGGAGAATCGCGACTTTGCCTTCATCCGCTTCACCGCCGGCCCGCCCTACGAGGACCTCTGCTTCAAGATCGTCAATCGCGAGTGGAACTACTCCTATAAGAGCGGCTTTCGCAGTCAGTTCCAGAACAACATTCTCCAGCTGTGGTTCCACTTTAAGCGGTACCGGTACCGGCGATAAGAAAGAGGTCTTTCGGTGGTATGCATACTTTCTTCAATATTTCTACACACTTGAGGCTGCCAATAAACGCACTGTTTATGTACTGTCGGCCAAACTTTTGTTTCTGCAAAAGAAAAGAAGTAAACTCGATTAACGATTTTTGTAAATGCATAAAAGTGGTTGAATTTCATGATTATCAGGTTGGCTTTGGGCTTACAAATCTTGATCTGATCACATTGCCTGGGAGGGTTTGGACACTTTGGCAGAGAGAAACTGAGTAAGTGGAAAATGGTGGTTCGATATGGTTTGTGAGGAAGAGGTGTGGCCTCTTTTACGATTGCTGCGGCATGGGAACGGCGGTGAGCAGTTTGAGGCGAAAGACGCTGCCCTCGGCCTCCTCCGTGCCCTCCTCCTTCTCGTAGACGAATCGACTCCAGCCGTTGGCCGGCCGCAGCTGGTGGGCGCCGGTGAGGTGTCGCGACAGGTTATTGCCCCGGTTGTAGGCCTTGCTGCACAGGTGACAGGCAAAGACGATCTGCTCGTTGAGGTGGGCGAGGCGGATGTGCCGGTTGAGGGAGTAGTAGTTGCGAAAGGTCTGCTCGCAGACCTTGCAGACGTTCTCGCCCAAGGAGGTGCCCTGCTCGGCATTGGCCCCTGCGCCGCTGTTCGCCTCTCCATTGAGATCGCCGTGATCGTGAGCGGCCAGTTCGTGCCGCCGGAGCGAGTACTTCGTCTTGAAGGGACTGCCGCAGACGGTGCAGACGTAGTCGCGACGTTCACTGTGTCGAAACTGCTCGTGCTCCTTCAACCGAGCCGGGTATGGGGCGGCGTAAGGGCACTTTTTGCAGCGGTACCGGCGGACGTGCTTGTTGACGTGCTCGCGCAGCAGCGACTTGGTCACAAAGGACTTGGGGCAGAGGGTGCACTGGTGTTTGAGGTGAGGATGAGGTGGCTGATGAAGGTGAAGATCACTACTACCACCTTCTTCTTCGGTGACCAGCATCGGTGGTGCTTGAGTGATCACCGATTTTCTATTATCACAGTTTGAGTTTGGCATGTAGAGCTGATTTTCATCCTCTTCATCTTCTTCCTCATCTTCTTTACCTTCATCTTCGTCGTCGTCGTCAATCGTAAGCAATCCTTCGAGCTGCTCCTCATCCACATGTTGCTGATGGCCACGATTTGGGTGCTTTTTCGAACCTGAAGCAGCAGCTGCTGCAACCGCCGCCTTTAAGCAGCTGTTGTTCACTGAGGTGGGCGTTTCCTGGCGGTAGCAATGGTTGAGGAAACCTGTCTTTGTACAAAAAGCAAGCCCGCAGACAGGGCAGGCAATCAGCTTCTTCTGTGTGTGCGACATCAGATGAGACTTGAGGTGTGACTTGCTCTTGAAGCTGGCCTCGCAGTTGCACCACTCGCACTTGGCGAACTTCTCCTCTTTCAGCTTCTCCTTGCTCATCACCGGAATGGCCACATCCTCCATTGCGTGCGTGTCGACGTGCATCGTAAAGAGGAGGTAGTCAAAGAACTCGCCGCCGCAGCCTCGCCAGCCACAAAGTAGCACATTGGAGAGGTCGGCGATGACGTTCCGAGAAGTGGAATCCTGGTAGCAGCGTAGAGTCGGCTCTGGAGTAGGCGGTGGAGAATAAGAACATTCTTAGAGATAGAGCTCATAGATAGACTCAAGACTACTCACGTGTACTGCTCATAATCTTGTAGCCGTTGTGCATAATCTGGTGGTGGTAGGCGTGGATGCTCAGGTGCAGCTGCAGATGTTGCTGCTGCTCAAACTTCCAACCATCGCAGCCCTCCCAGCGACAGGTTGAAGCCGTCACGCCCTCCTCTTCGTCTTCCTCATTGTCGTCACGGCGGCCACCACCTCCAAAGGCGGCCACATGAAGGCGACTGATGTGCAGCAGAAAGGAGTCTCGATCTTCGAAACGCTCGCCGCAGTCCTCCCACTCACAGGTCAGCTGGGCGCAGGGGCTGAGAATGGTGGCGGGAGTGGCGGTGGTCATTTGTGGGAACAGAAAAGAGTTGATGATCGACCAGGGAAATAGAAGACAACCAAGAGGAGAAAGCGAAGCACATTTCTTCTGCCCGACAACAAGCTTGCACAAGAAAAAAAATGTTTGTTGTCAACAATCATCAATCGATTGTGCGCCACCGCGCGTTCAAATCACCACCGATGTGGAAAAGGACGATTTGAAGATTTGAAAAAGTGGGCAGAACGAGTGTTCACGAATCGTGACCAATGCTGTAAACTGGCAAATTAGCTGTGACCAGAAGAAAAGGTCAGCTACCGTTGATGAAGAGGAACAATAATTAAAAATCAGCAGAAGCGGTGGTGATTAGTTGGCCAGTTAGTCGTTGGTCGTGAAAACAGTGAATAGTGGATTTCTTTTGTGTTTGTGAAAAATTACCCAACTTTTGTATGTACAGTGCATCAAAGAGAAAAGTGTAACAACAAGAATATAAAAGATCAACAAATTTNAAGCGGTGGTGATTAGTTGGCCAGTTAGTCGTTGGTCGTGAAAACAGTGAATAGTGGATTTCTTTTGTGTTTGTGAAAAATTACCCAACTTTTGTATGTACAGTGCATCAAAGAGAAAAGTGTAACAACAAGAATATAAAAGATCAACAAATTTTCATCATCCCCTCAACAATACGCCCTCAGGGAAGAAGTGAAAACGGCTTTCGGCTGTTCCTCGCTCGCCTAATCTTGAAGAAGGCGCACAGCGAGAGCAGCAGTGCCACTGAGACGAAGTAGAAGACGATGATGATGCTGTAGTCGGTGCTGGTGAAGGGCACAAAGGAGAGCATGATCGGCTTGGAGTGACTCTGATGACTTGGATTGTGGTGGTGATCACCATCCCCACTTTGATAACCCTCATTTGCCACCTTCTTCACACTGCCCAACTCCTCACCACCCTCCACCAAATCATACTCCGACTTGTCGGGCACCAGCCTCTCTGCGGCGTAAAACTCGACCAGAAACTGCAGCACCTTGGGCTCATCGTAGTACCGCTGTCTGTAGAGGGTCGCATTTCGAAGCAGTGGGTCATCTGGGGAGGAAGGAGGCTCAGCCTTGTAGCACTGCGGACACTCCTTGAAGGTGGGAAACTGCCGCTTCGGCAGCGCCGCCACCTCCGAGGCGCCGCCCTTCAGCCGCGCGTTCACGCTGTTGTGCGCTGCCCAGAGCCAGAGGACAGAGGCGTTGGCCACCGTCAGCTCATTTTCCAGTCCGCTGGCCATCGCCCCGAAGTGGCGGGCGCAGTCGGTGCAGCCGAAGAAGGCGGTGACGTAGCCGCGCATGGCGTAGAGGGAGGCGTGCAGGGAGGCCCACTGGGAGCGCTGCCGCACCGACCGCCGGTACTCCGCCACCGTCAGCACGTGAAAGAGCGTCCACAGGGAGCAGGGGTAGGCGCGCTTTCCCGGAGAGCCGGCCACCTCGGCGCAGGCTCGCCACGGTTTCATCTCCGGCAGGTGAAAGTAGTCCTCGTACATCTTCAGCGACTCCAGCAGGTCCTCCACCTCCATTCGAATGGGCTTGCTGGCGGCGGCCACTGCTTTGCCACCTCCTCCTCTGCCAGCCTGCTCCTTCTTCAGCGTGTTCAGCTTTCGCTGGAGGTACTTCTGTGCGCTCTCCACAAACTTCTTCGTCTTCTCCTCCTGAAAGTGGTAGTTCTCGTAGAGGACGCCCAGAAAGCGAATCAGCGCGTCCACCTGCTCCAGACTGAGGTACTTGCGCATGGGCACCTCGTGGAAGAGCGCAAAGCGAATGGCATTGTTCAGGTCGGACATGAACACCCGCGAGGAGTACTGCTGAAGTTCGTGCTTTGTGCCATCAGTTACGGGTGCCACTTCTTCAACGGGTTCTTCGGCTTCCACCACGTTCTTAAGAAACTCTTCGCGAATCACCTTGCCAAAGTACTCGCCAGGGTCGGTCTTTATCATCACAGGTCTGGGGGGAAGGGAAAAATGTTAACTTGTTGAAAAACTGCTGAAGAAAAGATGAAAAAGAGAGCACTCACTTGAGTAGAACATTAAACTGGCCATCCTTCGGTCTGAAGTGAACGATAAAGGGCAGCTGAAAGTGGTCCAGCGACCGCGGGAGAATCTGATCCAGCAGGCGAATGTTCGATTCGACCATGCGGTACAGACGAAGTTGCTGTCCACTGTACCGGCTGAGATTCATCATCATCTATGGAGAAGAGGAATTCAAAGATGGTGATTGGTTATTCGTCGGTGCAAATTTCCAAAAACCCAAACAGTACCTCTCTACCGAAGAATGAGGCATCCTTTTCAACGAAAATGAGCACCGTTTGATTGCCATGTCCCTCCCCACCTCCTCCACCTTTTGATTCCTTCTTCAACTTCTCCACCAGCGCTTCTTTGCTGTCCGCAGTGAGAGGCGGAAACTGCGGCCACCCTGCTGATATGTTGCCCCGCTTCCAATTGTCGGTGATCCACTTGAGCACGTGCTGGCGCAGGTCGGCCGCCTCCTGTTTGCCGCCCACTGCAAAAGTAGAACAACAAAAACAACAAATGAGCAAACGTCCAGGATGTAAATCAAAGCACCCAAACACTTACAATGCAGATTGTCGCCCTTCTCCTGGGCCTTCCCCGCCGGCCTGAACCAGAACATCCGCAGCGTCGGGTAGAACTCCACGTCGTAGTCGGTGCAGACGGGCCTATTGCTCTCGATGGAGCAGTCAACGGCGGCCACGCTCAGCAGCTCCGTCCAGCGGGTGATACTGCGCAGGAACTGGCGGAAGGAGGGCGCGAAGCTGATGCAATGGCCGCAGAATGAGTTGTAGAACTGCACCAGCTGCAGCCGCCGCCCGTCGGCGTGCAGGTCCACCACGAAGCGGCTGAAGTTGGCCGTCGAGAGGATGGTCAAGGGGCGGTCGGCGGCGCTGTACAGTGAGGGATGGACGACGGCGGCCGCGTCCGCCTTTCCTTTCGATGATTGACCGGGCCAGCCAGCGACGGTGATTAGAAGGAGCAGAAGTAAGCAGAGTGGAAAGTGGGGGAATGAATGAATGAAGTTCAACACTGAAGTTGGAGTCTGAAGATGGGAGGCTGGCATAGTATCTTTGGAAATGATGATGAAGAAGGAGAAAAGTAAGAGGAAGAAGAAGAAGAAGAATGGAGATTGCAAGTGGTCCGTGTATTGTGTTTGTGTGTTGAGTACAGTTTTGAAATCACAGTCTGATGAGGAGGGTGGGGAATGAGGTAAATAAAGCCGGTGGTGGTGGTGGTGGTGTTTGGATCACTGCTGTGTTTGGTCTACATTCCAGCTAGCTAGAAAAAGAAGGTTAAAACTTCAGCCACAAAGCTCCACCAGCATCTTACCTCTAAGAAACGCTCCATTGCACTGGCTCGTAAGTGTTTCCATCATCATCACCATCAGCAGCAGCAGTGGCAAAGTACCGCTGCCACCGTTTGCCAACACATTCACAGCTGTTTTCCTAATGAGTAGTCTGACTGTTTTTTGCCCGTGACCTGAGGGGCACAAAAGATATCACGTGACTTTTTTCAGTGGGCAGCGCTAGCATACCGACAAGCAAAGCTGGACAGACATCGACAAGCAGAAGGGCGGCACGACCACCTTATGTCCCTCCGGTTGCAGGCAAAAACCGGTCCACAGCTACGACGTACAAAAATAGTTAAAGTCGCCCTGCAGACGAAACTGATTCAGACACGAGGAAGTTTAGCTCAGTGGTAGAGCAATCGACTGCAGATCGATAGGTCCGGCGTTCAACTCGCCGAACTTCCTCAACAAAAAGATGATTTTTTCTAGGCCCTTCGTCAAAGAAGCAAAGAGGAGCTTGTTTTTGTGTTGTTTTCTTATCAACTCTTTCAGCAATTTTATTGTACAACTAAACAGTGACGTTATGTTTTCCTTCAAAATGTACACCCGCTGATGTTTTTCAGCTTTTTCAATCAGTAAAGAGAACTGCTTGCTTTTAATGAGTGTGCTCGACAGTAAAAGAGCAATGTTAACAGCTAAATGTGCTTAAAACAAAAGTGCGTTTTATTCGGCAGTGAAAAAGTTGACAAAAAGAAAAAAATTAAAAGTTAAAACTTAATAGTCAAAGCTAGAAGGCTTCATAAAACAAGGAGGCGTCAAAAAGCTGAAAACGATGAGTATGACCGAGTTTATAGGCGACACTCACTTCCTTCAGTCCTGAAAAGTTGTGCTCCAGCGGCATCACACCACCGTTGAAGGGGTCATAGAGCGAACACTTCTTTTGCACAAAAGTGAGGTTCAGCTCTGTCAGCCCTGGAAAGATGTGCTCCAGCTGAAACACATGTAGCGGATTGTCGTTCTTTGAGGATGTTTGGTACAGAAGGGAGAAGCTACGCACATTGGGCAGAACGGGAAAGTCGGCCTTCTTAAAGCAGCGACCACAAAGCCACGAGCTGGAGAACCGCTGATCCCCGGAAAAGTCGAGCTCCAGCACCTCAAGAAGTGAAGTATTCACCAGTGCATTGAACAGTTGCTGGTAGGGCATTAAAGGTGGGGTGGCGTACAGTTGGAAGAGGGGCGGCAAACGGGAGGGCACTTCCTTAATGGGGAAGGGAATAATGATCAAGCGCCTTAGATTGCTCATCAGAGAGAGCCGACGGGTGAAGGACTCAGTCATCCGTTCTTTAAAGTGAATAGCCTCAAGGGAGGTGATGAGTTCTAGACAAGCCACCTCTTCTTCCGTTGGATCATTATCATTTTTACCCCAGAAAAACAGAGATTTGATTTTTAGGCTAACGTTCAAATTGGCCGAACCACTTTTTGCAGCTTCGACCAAATGAGCATTTGGGTGTACAAGTTTGCCGATGAACGGGAGAACGGTCGGTGTGCAACAGTGCTCCTCAATGAAGAGCTGAAAAGAGGTCAGCTGCGGCATAACGGTGAGGAAAATGGGGTTGCAGAGAAGAAACTCACTACTCTCTGCCCAAAGAGAAAGGTGCTTCAGCGAGGGCAGCTCAAGTTGCAACGGCTCCATTTGTTCT